AAGGTCGCTTCGTTAGTCGATGAGGTGTTTGAGCGCAACCTGTGCCACTGATGGGCCCATTGCCACTGCGACACCGAAGCACCCTAACAATACTACAAGCTGATGGGGGAAAGCCATACAAATGGTTCTGGTAAACTTCTTCAGAGCCCGAAAAAATCCCAGCACCCCGCACGGGAGGCCTTAAAGCCATGCTGCCTGTCACAAAAAAGCCACAAACACCCACGAATGGGGTAGGATTAGAGTCAAGGGATAACACGAAGGGGCTTGGAAACAAGCGGGATCTCCGGCTGCGCACACTCCATCACACACAGAGATCATATAAGGTAGAATCCCCGTAACCCCTACCCGGCCACAGAGAATGTCGAGAGCGTGGCAAAAGACACCGGCCGCTAGACTCCATACGAAACCCACCCCAAACATTCCAGACACTACGACTGAGAAACAACCAGTAGAAATACGCAACAAACCCACTGGGAAGTCAGGTGTACCACCCACAGCAAACGCAAGCCACAAGAGAGCCAATTCGACCATCTTCTTGTTCAACGTCGATGTGTCGAAAGACTCATTGTTGATCGAGAGAGAGCGGTTTGATGGCCGAAGGTATACAAACTACTGTCAGATGCTCAGGCTTCTATCTCTCCCTGAAACAGTGTGTCGCCTTTCTCACGGAAGCCGGGCGCCCTGAGACAAGCCACCCCGTATGTGCGTCCTTGAACACTGCCAAAAAAGCCGGAGCCACCCTCCTTCTTTCACGCCAGCCGGACGTTGCCAATGCCTGCAAAATTCGGATCAGGCCTGATAAGCCATGGTCGACAAGAGAGAAGGAGAGAAAATCAGCGGTTGGGAATCGAAACAGAAACAACACTGTGGTTGCACATAGAATTCCAGAACTGCTAAGTGACCGCTTAGCTAAAGATCGGTACCTTCACGATATCTAACAGTGCCAAAGGCTCTCAAGCGAAGTCGTTTTTGACAGTGTACTGGCCAACAGAGTCAATAGGCCGCCGAGACCAACGCATCTGAAGTCCATCCCACTGCCAAACTACTCGCCATCCAATTCGACTCACATGTCCCCCTCACAGACATTCTGCACTCATGGTGTAATGTGGAGGACCTCGTGGAATGCTCAATATCAGTGAGCCAGTGAGTCAGATGCATCGACTAATAAGCCCCTGCCGAAAGAGTTCCCCCGTCCAGTCGAAAATAAAACGCCAATACACGAAGCGATGCCAGTCCTATGATGACTGGCGGCGCTGGACCAAGCCACGTTAGCGCTCATCTAGCGGTGGTACACAGCTAGCCCACTCTTTTCACCAGGCACACTCTAACACGTGTGTACGGCAACGCTATGGGGTAAGAAGGAAAGTGGTAGAGATGAGGACGCTGCGCGCACATCAGCACTGTGGCATCTCCGACGAGGAGATGCATATCACTGGCATGAAACCCTTCCTCAAAGATAGAGAGCTCAGAGCAGGAGAGGCTGTAGATCTCTACGTTAGCCATCGTTTAGAGGCAAGAGTGGTTAGCGATGCCACCCTTACCCAGCTCCCGGAACCTCTATGGTGCTAGTTTACTCTCCACCGTGCCAAATATCTGCTCGGAGTCGTATATCGCTCCTACACTAGCTCCCTGGCATATAGGGCAGTGGTCACCAAGGCAATCTTAACGACTTCCCCTGCAGATTACGACTCCATAATCATTGCCGGCGACTTCAACACCCCGTCCGTCCTCTTCGACACGGAAGGGTGGCACATAGGATCCTTCAGTCGAAAGCTGAACGGCGCACTTAAGACTGCTGGTCTCTCAGAGATAGCTGATGATGCCATGCGCTGGGGACCTAGAGAGAACGCATCGTGCCTCGACTACGTTCTGGTGAATGATCTTCGAGGATGTACATATTCAACCTTCCCTTGACCTCAGAGACTACGCAGTAATAACTTTATCCATGATTACTCGGAAGGTCCTGCAACTAAAGACGACCAACACCTTCACTTTGCCACAACAAGGCTGATTGTGAGACCATGAGGGAATGAATGCATTGTGGCCGGTAGACCCACCTCACAATGAATGAACACCGGATACGGGTGAAGAAAATGATCTTTGGGACCATCGGCCACAGTGTACCGGAGGACATGCACAGACCGTCCGTGAGAACCTCGTGGCTAAAGCGTGGGACAGAGAGGCTAATTAAGTGCTAGTAACAGGCTTGGTTCAAGTGGCGTTCATCAAGCAAGGAGTCTCACTATTAGAACTGCGAAAGGGTTCGCAACCACTGTGACATAGGAGTGCGTAGTGGCGGATTTGCCTGGCAGGGAGGCTGCCAAGTGACCCCTGAAACCTGTACCGCTTCGCGTCGAAAAAGGAACCAGCTAGCAGGGGAATGAATCTTACCACAGGTCCTGATGAAAGTGCAGTAAGTAGTCTACAGATTTCAGAGCTTCCGAGCTCACACTTTCAAGCCCAACTTAGTATTCATACCAAATCCACACTGACTCGTTACGACACTGACCAGGCCATAAATAATGAAAACTTCTGCCACTTCTCGATCACAGAGTAAAGTGTCGGAGAAACTATCTAGGCTACATCCTTGCAAGTCTCCTGGCTGCGGTAACATAAAATCGGTAATTATATATAACTGCACCAAGGTGCTTGCAAAACCAATCTGCAACCTCCTCAAGCACTCACCAGAGTCATTCAAACTCCCTAAAGAATGGAAGTGCGCTATTTTATCACCCTTCTTCAACGAAGGAGATAGAAGAAGTCCTGGTGGCTACAGTCTAATTGATCTACTCCCTGTACTGTCGAAATTTATTAGAAAGCCTGGTAGCTGACACTATTTGGGAAGACACTGTTCGTGCTGCTCAGCATAGATTTCGGAGTGGTCGCTCATGTGCCTGGGACGACTGGATACTAAGCTGGGACAACAGAAAAGCAGCACATGTTTTTTCCGGCCTAACTGAAGCAATCGAAGGAGACGCACCCACAGTCCTGCTACACAAGATCATGTCAGCTGGTGTAAGCGAACCCCTACTCTTTTGGTTAAAGGAGCACCTAGAAGGGAGGCAGTTATGCACCAAAGTAAACAGAATGTGGTAAATCGGAGACCATCAACTCCAGGAGCATCCCAAGGAGCAATCCTAGGACCACTTCTGTTCCTCCTGTTTGTCAACGATCTGCCACGCAAAATGTACTCACCCATCCTCCTCTTCGCTGACGACATTGAAATTTCGGGGGTGGTAAACGAAGGAGCTAACTCTACGACATTACAAAATGGCTTGCAGCAACCCAAACTCTGGTCGTCGGAAAATGGCTTGAGCTTCAACTTGGAAAAGTGTAAAGTAATGCACATCAGTAAATATGAAGCAAGCACGGCCGACTTCCATTACATGTCGAGCAACCGTGCTATCACCAGAGCGTCCTAGGATTTAGGGTTTCAACTCCTCCGGCAAGTTGAACACCAGATCCAACCACAAAGATCTAACAACCCGAGCAAACGCCATTTGTCGCCTTCAGCGCAGACAGCTTGGCACCCTCACCCCTGGACTCTTCCTCACCGTTTTCAAATCCTATGTGTGGCCATATCTAGAGGTCTTCAAATCGGTGACCCCCAACACTCAAGAGAGGCTCTGGGTAAGGAGAACCCAGAAAGATTGAAACATCTAAAACTGTTCGCCTTTGGCTATCGCATTACCTTATTGTGGCCTGCAAGATCACCTATCGGGAAAACCAGGCAAACAAATTAACGTTGCCTGCAACTTAGCGGTCATCACGAGGAAACCCCATAAGGATGGCATATCAGAGGGCCAGTACCATGTTCAGGTCCAGTTTTTTCTCCCTGAAAGTAATTGCTTCATGGAATGCACTACCGCGACATATCGTCATAACCCCCTGAGATGAGTCATTTTTTAAAAGACGGCTAGACAGTTTCGTCACCTCGCACAGTCTACGAAGGACGTACTCAGGGAGTCGCCAACCTCACTAACCCACCCTAATTTCCTTTTTACCTACCACTCACTGTCTCTCCTTAATGCTCCCACATTATCCATTAGTTCTTCTCTAGAAAATAGACCTACGCTACCTACTTTTACATTTTGGGCAACTCCTACATACCTTTTCTCTCCCTAATTTTTCTCTCTTTTTCGCTTTTTATCTTTTCTTTCTCTCCATTCTTTGCCACTGCCACACTATTCTCATCCAGGTACCTACACAGACAAGAGTCACGACAATCCCCTAATCCTCTCAGCAGTCTGTAGCTGTTCAACAGATCTACAAATTACAGCTCACCCACAAAACATCCACCTCATTGGGGCTAAAAGCAAGAAAGTGGAAGGGATTTCCTCGTCCACCACAGAAGCGAACCGGACAACTCTAACCAAGCCCCAAGGACTAGATGTGAGTGATCAAAACTATCAGTTTTCTACGCCTGGACTATCAATTTTGAATTGGATGTCCCCACCTTCATGTTGTGCTAAGGCTACAATATACTATTGGCTATAAGTACTACGATAAAGTCCTAACAGTAATAAGAGCCCTTGTATGACATGCAGAAGGAAGACGAAAGAAGGTGTCTGGTTTATGTCAACACATGGAAGATAACTAGTTGAATAAAGTGTAGCGCGATGTTTGGCTGGTGCGTTGCAATCAACGCTGTGACGCATTCGAAATCTCATTCACCTTCCATTTTTGATTTCTAGGCTACCTCACCTCTTCGTTACCAAGCCCTACCATTTGTCAATTATCGTTTATTATTGGATGTAAGTACATCCTGTGCACTTGCTGAGTCGTCGCCTCACCTTTTTCTCTTCCTATTTTCCCTTTCAGATTCTCGTGGCCACCACTAAACTCACATCGCTCTACGTGCCCCCTTGCAACAGCGTGCCCACTTCCAGGCTAAACGAAAACGTACCATCAGATGGTCGTTACAACGCCTTATATCTTGATGTAGTCAGACTGACGATTGGGGCGTTGTGAGGGTGTTTTATCATCTGATTGTCAATTTTATGGGTATTAATGCCTCATCCGTAAAGCAGTCACCAGAGATGGTGAGTAACCTTTTTTGTGGTAACGTGACCAGTATATTTGCATTCTTGTATACATCCGCATGCAATGTTTTGTAATGATATGGTTCATCGTCATTTTAGTTGTTAGTAGGATTTAGAGCAGCCGAAATACTATGAAAATGAATTTTAAAACGTGTGTAGTTTGTTCGTCGTTGGTAAGTGACTGTGTTCATTCTTGACCAGTAATTAAAGATGGTAGACCTATTCGGCCTTTGCTAATGGTTGCTGCAAGTTTCCCTGTTGAGCTTTAGGTTTTCATTGAGTGCTTCAACCAAAGGGGCTATAACCACTCGAGAGATCAGTTTCTACACTTGCGCCATCAATGTTCGATGTTAAATTCTCTTTGGCATGAAATTCCAGTCATTGACCGCTTCATTTGAGAAGCTTTGGTTCACAGTAGGTTGATTTCATCGTGAATTTCAAGATTTATTGTGGTGATGTCAGGGGTAATCGACCCTTATGTGAAAGGATAACTAAGATGTATCAATCCCACAGTAATTGTTAAGGATACTGAATGGTAGTAACAGGTTACGTTTGCTACGCTAGGGTAGCGGGAACAGATTTTGTTGCTTTGCTTCACGTAGGACAGGTGGATCATTGACCAACTTAGCAATGAAATTTCCTATGCGGCTTAATGGCTTAGCATCTCTTTTAAAGTATGGACTGACGCCTGATTGTAGTTTTCGATGGACCATAATTCGAGTCATGTGTACGAAGCCCAAAAAGCATTACAAACTGGTCACTATTTGCTGACAGAGTGAAGTGGTGGAGGTCAGTTAATTCCTATGGTAGATGTGTAAGAACCAACTTTAAAGCCGTTGCTTTATTTTATAAATCAGAACGCATTGCACCGATGAAGTTTTGAACCAAATCACTCTAGGATTGACAAGTAGGTCGTTATCAAAGCACTGTCTTGAAACTGGAGCCGTTAGTACACCTCATCATCATCAATATCAACATAAGACAAGGCATTACTGCGCAACGGTCCAAGTTGCCACACCTCATATCAGTACATCAAGTAAACAAGGCAGTGAAGTGTAAGGTGGAGATAAGAAAATTCAGTCAAAAGAAATATAAAGTACGAAAAGAGAGAAAGGAAGAATGAGAAAGTGGTGAGATTCGGCATAGCGTCGTTAAGATGAGGATAATGTGCGTATACAACTGCACCACTGACATCGATTCTGAGCCATATCACCTAGAATCAGTCTCCAACCACTGGTCTCTCTTGTCCCGTGGACCCCAACCGGCTAGTCTACATCGCTCTACATCGCTGAAACCAACAGTCAAACACTGCATACATTGATGCCATGTTTTAGTCTGGCCACCTCGGGCCTTTTTGCAGCCTGAATCTACTTCGGCCAACATTGTGTGACGAGGCAGACGGCGACTAGGCATGAGTAACATGTGTCTCAACCATCTCAGTCGATGTAGGTTCACAATCGTGTCTACTGACTTACCCCTTCTCCCTAAAACTCTACGTCTGAATTCTGCGTTGTCCGCGTGGTGACACCACGAAATACGGCTCATACTACGAAGGCAGCGGTGGTCAAACACTTGAAGCCTTCTGATGTCTTCCACCTTCACTGGCTATGTTTCACAGCCATACAGTAGAACAGAGTGGACTGCTGTGGTGTACACGCCACCCTCAATAGACAATCGGATATCACGGCGGTGCCCTAGGTGGCGTAAGTTGGCAAGAGGTAACCAAGCCTTTAGTAGTCGTACAGAAATTCTATCGACCACTGAGCCACCAGGGTTGATCCCGCTTTCCAGGTAAGTGAAGTGGTCAACCCACACAACCACTTCACTCTCTACTATTAGCCAACGCACCAATGAAGACCAATCCTGGAGCAACAATTTGCATTTGGAAGATTCTCAAATTGCCACTCAGTATTCAGAAGACTCTGCATCTTGCCAGCGTGAAGATTAGGTCAAACTCTGTGTAATCGGGTGATGAGATGGAGACCTCCAAAAGAACACCCATGATAAAATTGAATAAGAATGGAGAGAGCGGGCACCCTTGACGGACGCCACTCGACGAGCACAGCTCCCCGGACATCTCACCATAGGCTCTAACACGCCCACAAGTTTTCGAGTAGAGAGCCTTTGATAAGGTGATGTACTTACTCGGTAAGCCTTTCAGCGAGTGGTCAACGGAGTTGAATGCCGCCCCCCTCAGACCGAGAAATACAGTTATTGTCGGGCGTGGTAAGCGTGTGTATGTTCCAGGACCTGACGGATTGTGAATATTTGGTTGGTACACCCACAGCTGGGTCTAAAACCTGCCTGGTTTTCTTGGGCTTGCTGTTCTCGAGCTCCACTCAGGCGTCGAAGAATTATAGAGCCTAGGATCTTAAACGCTATGTTCGTCAGGCTGATTCCCCTGTGATCATAACAGGACTTCTCACCTTTCTTAAAGACAGGAATAATCAGTGATTTAGACCAGTCAGAAGAGATCGTATTTGATTCCAATATACTGGTTAACACTTCCATTAACCTGACTAAGAGCACCTTACCACTATCCTTGTATACCTCTGGAGTTAGTCCGTCTGGTCATGTCGCCCTTCCTTGTTTCAGGTCACCTACCGCTTTCTTGACGTCTGCTAGTGTTGGGGGTCTATCTCAATGTTCCATTCAGGATCCGATTGGATAACGGGCAACGTAATGGTGTCTGGAGGCCAGTTAAACTACTCCTCGAAGTGTTCTGCCCATCGTTCCAGTCGTCTCCTCTGCGAGTTAATCGCAGACCCATTCTTCTCCACTATGGCCTCACTAACTGTTATTGACCTTTTCCCCCAGTTTCCTTAATAAGTCTAAACAGCTGTCTACTGTTACCGATCGCCGCTGCCTTTTCCATCTCTTTAGCCTTCCCTGCCCACCACTGTTCGTGCTCGTTACATAGACTTTTTCTCAATCTACTTTTAAGTTGCGCTCGCTCTTCATTACACTCAGAGCCTACAGGGATGCATTCACGTGCATCCATTAGTTCGGAAGAAGCTGCTGATATCCACTGGCTCTTTTTAGTCACTATTTCGGAGTCTGCTACGGTCTTCAACGCTGCTTTCACGGTGGACTGGAGATGGCATCAAGCTTCTTTTGAATGAGTGATAGTCTTCTGTTCCAATAACTGCCTGGGCAACTTCTCACTGAGCACGGCTTTGGTGTTTTCGTTGTTGAGCAGCACTCATAGTGGTTGTGTTGCCAAATTTTTCTTACGCCCATTGAGACTCAGGCATATACGCGCTTGGACCAACGCGTGGTCACTATCCAAACACGTACTCCAGAAGGAGCAGCAGTCTTCCACCGATCCTCTCCAGCGATGACTAATAGCAATGTGGTCTATCTGTGTGCACCACTGAGTTGAGCTCGGTAAACTCCACGTCAGACAGTGTCTTTCTTTATGTCTGAAATTTGTGCTAGCTAAAAATAGGCGGTTATCTGAGCACTGTTGTAGTAGGCGATCACCGTCGTCTGTCCGTTCAACCCGGACTCCGAAAATGCCACCTAAGTGCCTTTCTGCCTCACTCAGCCTACGCACCTACCTGCGCATTGAAGTCACCTGCAACAACCACCACGTCTGAACGTTTGGCTTTCAAGAGGAGGCTAGACAGTTTCCAGTAGAACTTGTCCTTCACTTCCTCCGAATTTCAGTCGGTGGACGTGTAAGCAGAGATTACAAAGAGATAACGGCGAGTTTCACTGTTCCTTTTAGTTCTCACTGTGCTGTTCAGTCGGATTGCGCAGAGGATCCAGTCTAGTAGTGAGGTTTCTGCCCTAGTGCTTAATGATATGCCTACACCTGTGAGACCTGGAGAGCTAGTCATCGAATCTCCAGAAACTTGAAGGGTGAATTTTATGGACTCACCAGATTGGCCGGGAGATGTTAGGTGAATAACCACACTTGGGTCCTGTATGTGTGTCTCACAAACACAGCACACATCTATACCCTGGAGTTGCTAGAGGTCTTTGCCAACGCGAAGCCTGTTGACTAATTTGACGGAGGGTGCGGACATTGAAGGCTCCAATATGTAATTTGGAGCGTGGTTTAAGGGACGAGGGATGCTGTTCTGTGGACTCAGATCGTTGTCAAAGGCTGCAGAGGTAGGAGAAATTGAAGATGATGTAGTATCGTTAGTTGAGAGACGTGAAGGAAGATTAGAAGGTAATGATGGAGGAGATGGATAGTAGTCTGAGGTAACTTGAGTGCTGATCGAGTTGTGAGTGTGGTTGACACTTCCTGGCTGCCCATACCGTGGAAGGCTATTTCTTCTTGAGTTACCTGAAAGAGATTTATGTGACCGCAGAGCCCATCGAACATCTGCTTGAGGCCTGTCACACTCAGCCTTTTGTGTATGATTATTTTGGATTTCTGCTGTTTTGGGGCCGTGTGGTCGAAAAGAAACGACAAATGGACCAACACTGCCGGCCCGGCAGACCGTGGGGTGTGGTGGAGTGTGTTATTTTTGGGGCCGACCGTTTCTAATCCTCCCTTCCACTGAGATGGCAGCATCAGCATGGCACTACTGGTCATCCAAGGGAAACACCTTCCTGCTGTCACACTCCATCCAGCTAGCAGCAGTGCGACTTCGCCCTCAGACCCTCATCATAGTGTAGTAATTTACACCACAACAGAAACTGCTTTTCATCTAGCCATTATCCAACAGACCTTTCTGGTATGGTAGGACCTCGAGGGAACAAGTGTTCCAGCAGCATAGCTCGTTGGGTCATTGTGATATGCAAGCCCGACCACCACATCAAAGTAGCAGCTAACGGTCAGATAATTCCGCCCAGTTTATGTACGGTGCGTTTAAGTTACCCTGAACGGAATTCAAAAGTGTATATAGTGCTTAGCAAAGTCTACATTTTTTGATTCTTCAAGATTCCAGATAATCTTGGGTGAGGATACTTGGATCCAGTGTTGACAACTCCTGAGACCTCAGATGGTTCTGTTATCTTAGCAGTAGAACCGCAGGCACTTGAGAGCCTCCTCGGAGATCTTCTTGGCACAATCCCATAAGCCTCACCCTGCGAACCATCACCAGTCTCGATGTTGGGTTTAGTGCCAGGTGGTTTGCACCTTGGCTACTCTGGTTGCAACCTTGGGGTTTTTTTACGATTGATTCGTAGTAACAGGCGTAATAAACTTATTGCACTCTTTTCTGGAAGTGCGCAGGCGATTGACACTTCCCAGCTGCCCACATTGTAGAGGGCTCTTTTTCCTCTTTCAGGTACCTGAAAGAGATTTGTGTGACCGTGGAGCACATAGGACGTCTGCTTGAGGTCTGTCACAGACTTCGGATTATCGTTTTCAGATTCAGTTGTGCTAACACTAGGTAGAGAAATCCATACGCCAACAGCTGAAGACCTTGGGATAGAGAGTGTGCTATTTTGAGGTTGACCTTTACTAACTCCCTTTCTCACATGGAAGACAACGTCGTCGTGGGACTACTGCTCATCCAAAGCAAACACCTTCCTGCTGTCACACCCGTACAGTCAGCAGTACAACTTCCCCCTCATATCCCCATCATAGTGTAGTAATTTACATCACAACGGTGACTGCTTTTCGTCTTATCACTATCCAACAGACCTTTCTGGTGTGATAGGACCTCGAGGGAACAAGCGTTCCAGCCAGTGTAACTTGGGTTATTGCGATATGCATGTCTGACCATAACGTTCAGGTAGCAGCTGTCGATCTGCTCACTATCTAAATTTTCTCTAGGCTCAATCTCTGATACCGAATGCGTTAGCATCTTGAACTAAGCGAACAGCTATCTCCAGTAGATAGAAGTTTCTTCAGTATTACTGACTCAACCGTTTCCTGAAGTAGGAGACTGGCGTGTGACAGAAGTCATACATCCATATAGCAGTAATTTTACTGCATTGTTTATCAGGTGGTGTTAGGCCAGTGCACACCGTGTGGTACCAACAACCACAGTTGTCATATTGCGTCCCGTCGTATACAGCATACTGGCATTTGGCCACAGTGATTTTTATAAGGGAATATTTTAATTAAAAGCAAACGGATGGTGAACAACAATAATATAATTAGAAAAACGTTTTACGATAAAAAAAACCTGATAACGCAGAAAACCACCATATGTCAACCAAAAATATCTTAAAAGAACAAGACGGAAAAAGCGTTAAATGTTGAAAAGACAACGCCTAAAAATGCCTTGGAGTTTAACTAAATTAACTCAGCTTCAAATTTACTAGAAAGCTTTTGGTGTGATTAACACAAAACAAGCATGCTCAAAAGTTTAAAAAAGAGACCCTTTCCCAGTTGTGCGCGCAACAAGGCATCTGTCGCTTGCTTTCAGGCTAAACTTTCTCCACATGGGGCCCGTTGTATGCCAAGAATATCTACGAGTTCCGACTTATAGGAAAAGTGCCACGGAGGCACCTGCGATCAAAGACTTGCAGTCACATCACTGCTTCTACTCTCAGCATCTCTGTACGGATATATAGTTCTTCGGTTTAAGATTTCAGTCTTCATGCAACAAGTTCCAGGTTCAAACCACGTTCCAATCACTTCGACATGAACAGTCAGCTATTATCATCAGTCCACACACAACAAGTGTATATACACATGTGCAGGGTTGATTTACATTATCATCATTATTACTGTTATCGTTATGATTATTATAATTGTTATGGATTGATTTACTCAACGTCAACTTTTCCCAGTCTCACAATCAAGTAGAGCAGACTGCTGGGCATTATGCTCTTCTTTTAATATGTATTTGGATGTCAAACTGGGACCACAGGTGGTGTATGTTAGCAAGCGATAGACATGAACTTTTTATCTAAGTTGAAATTTCGTCAGCAGCCACCTGCTTAGCATGGTTGCAATTTCCCAAATAAGTGAATTAGTCGTCGCATTCCACTTATCCTTAAACTAGGGGTAAATGCATCATTGCACATTTGACAGGTACGAGGTGCACGCCAAACGTACTCAACGTTTTGATGTTAATGCTCAAAAGATCACCTTTTTTCATTGTTCTCGCGTAATAGGGCTGTTACCTACGTACTCTAAGTCTACTAGATGTCTTTTTTGTTAGGAGGAAAATCCAACCCATCCACTCGTTCATATCTAGACTGCGTGCTTTTCTCAAGCTTTCCTTGGGTGTAGGTAATAACCGTGAAGTAGTAGTAAATGATCAACTGGAAACACTATCTACTTCGAATGTAGTTAAATGTATTTACCCGGCTAACAGAACTTATACAACTTTGTCACGTGCTTTACACGGATTGTTCTACTAATTCGTTTCCCAGAGATGGTAATTTTTTGTGCAATTGCTTACTCAAAAAACGGTTAAATTTCCTTCGTAAGTCATCGTTATATTTATCCTGGAAAACATGTGATTGGATTATTCGTCAATTATATAATATTTAGCCAAATTTGTTATTACGACTTTCCTCTTTATGTCTTATACGTTTGGAATTTCGAGACCATTTATCTTTTTTTCAGAGTTCTATGACAACTATTATTTACATTACTAACTGTATGAAAGTATCCATTATTCTAAATGCCAAGGCGTCCTTTTACCATATTGCAGTAAAGTTCTAAGTGTTCTGCGTTCATTTTCGTGTAATTCGTCTCACGGTCTTTTTGTCTTGATTCGCACATTTGTACTAGCATTTTGTTTTATACTTTTTGTTCAGGGGAAATTGGGAAAGAAAAGATGGAAAACATATCTATTGCAACCGTTGTCATGGCCTTCTAATGCTAAAGTTACTCAGAAGAATACTTCTTGGGTGCAACTGTCTGGCCATAAAGGTTAGTGTGACAAAATCTACCAGTTTTGTCAAACTTACCTACTTTGAGTAAAATATTGTACCTCGATGTGACATTATACCTGCCTGCTGCAATGCAATAACCAGCTATATCGACTCAAACAATTGTTCTTTGCTATCCTATCATGTCACTTTTGTTAGATAAAATACTTAGTATGAGAAAGAAGTTGAGGAAAAACTGCTCAATCTCTTTGAATCACCTGATAAAGAAACAAAACGGAAATCAGTAGGTAGTGAACCTTTTAGAAAAAATCTTATTCTTGACAATAAGATTTAATACAAAAAGGATTAAACTGCAATATAGATAGTGCAACTATGTTGAGTTTCTGTGCGGTCTTTGAATCTTCACTCAAAACTTCAGGAGTAACGCCAGAAAAACAAAAAAGAACTGTTATAGCTAATCACAAGATGAAAATCAAGGGTAAGTAGCACCACCTCAACAGAAAAAAAGCACTGAATGCTCCCATGTAAGACAAAAAAATTGTGATATTACTGGCAGACAAAGGGCTGGAAACCGTCATGACCCAAGTGGATTGCGCAGAAAGTACAAGAAGTACTAAATGACAGGAGCACTTACCTGGTAGATAAGAATCCTACCAAACAACTGGATGACAGAATTTAAAGATAATCAGGCAATCTAATCAGAGCTAGTCTTATCACGAAAGAAGAACAACAGCGAAAGAAGATTGGTCCAGTTCTGTGTAGATTCCACCTTTAGCCTAAAGTACACAACACGAATGTTTCATTGTGGTTGCAAGGGTCACTACTAGAACATTTAATTCATCCAAAGAATTGTACAATAAACCAAAGGTATTCAATTCACAGAAAGACGAAAAAGAAATCACGTTCCTAGGTGTGCTTATCAAAGGAACACACGGTCGAACCTTACAGACTCCAATATACAAGAAGGTGACACAAATCAAGTTTTAAACTACAACAGTAAAAGCCCAATTTTTCATAAGACGAGTTATGCACAATTACTATTCACGTGCGCCAAGACTCCTTGCAGCACTCAGTAACTGCCTAAGTTAGGAGAAAACGCTCTTTACAATGTGTTTAGAGTTAATGATTATTCAATCTTCGTCAAGTAATGTCTATCAGCAGAACTCTCATCATGACATTTCAACCTACAAAATGAATCACTTTACCATACATCAAAGATGTCTCAGAAACTGTCAACTGCTTATTTCATCCATTTAGTATCAGCATCTCATGCGAACCAAAAGAATCTGTGCAGAACATCTTGTGCAAGCTAAAGGACCTATCATCTGAAGAAGATGTGAATAGAATCTAAGAAATTGGTAGTCCCTTGAATATTTGCGCCGACCTTTATGTTCTAATTGTTTATTCTCTGACACAATGCAGTCTACTTTAATACCAGTCTTTCCTATGAACTTCTTTGTATACTGCTGTAAAGTATGGCATTTTGAACCGATGAACTTGTGTGCAAGCTTCTACGTTCATTTTGTCTATCTGTCAGTCTTTGAACAGAGCAAAGAATTTATGAGCACCAGCCTGCAATCAAACAACATGATTTATTCTCATTGAGATCGAAACACGTTGATAAACAACCTCAACTTCGACTGAAATATTGTGGAAATACTAAAACATACCAGCTCAGAAACAGCAAGACTTCCTGGAGGCATGGTACCCCAATAAAATGCCAATCAACAGCCGCATGGATGCTGACCCCAGCGTATGGACTACTAAGAGGGTATCAATCAACTGACTGATTGACGAAATCAACGTAGAACCTTGCACATAAGTGCATCTTTTCAAGTTGCCACACTTAACAGTGGTACACAAAGAGCAGGAGAGTAGAAAAAGAGTTATATCAAAGTATATAAAGCAGTGTGAGAGAATAAAAATTCTGAAGATAAAGGTTAGTGTTAGTATTCTAACTTTAGTAGGTAGGTATCAAGAAGTAAATACATTTTTGCGATTGTGATCGATTTTCAGCCAAGTCAGCAGGAGTCCTCAACCACTGATTCCTTCCGTCTCGAGGACCCCAGCCAGCCAGTCCACATCTCCACACATGACTCAGACCAATAGTCAGGGACTTCAGCGACTGGTGCCACGCCTTGATCTGGCCAACTTGAACCCTCTCCGAAGTTAATCCAACTTTCTCTAAGATGGCACATCGAGATAGGCGGTGGCTCAGCATGCGCAGTACATGTCCAACCCTTCTCATTCGATGAAGGTTCACGACCTCATCAGTCAACTTGGCTTTCACTTCTTATCAATAAACTGCGAGTACTTGCACCAGGCCAGTCCTGGTGCCAGCGAAACCTCTGCCAAACATACCCCGCATTGCGTCAGCATCTTCACCCAGCAGGACAAGATCTCCTACATACGCCAAGTCAACCAGATGGTCGCCAGGGAGTAGGTCAGTCCTTTCAAAGTCAGACATACCTAAGGTTATGTCCATCAGTACGTCTACAACGAAAGTAAATGGGAACGTTTACAATGCGCATACGTGGTAGACACAACTAATTATCATCAGTTCAAATGACAACTCTCCATAAGCGCCACCACGGCTGGACAAGTTCGAGTAGACGGCTTTGACAGGCGTTATGTACTTGCTCAGTACTTCCTTTAGTCAGATACTGCTACAAAACCTCACTGTCGACTGAGTGAAATGCCGCCTTCATGTCAAGAAATGTAGTAGGTATCGGCCACTGGCCCATAGGTATACTTTTGTTCCACAACCTCTTGGAGGACCAAAATGTGATCGATGTAACCTCGTTCAGCTCTGAAACCTGCTTGGTTTACTCGAGTGTGGTGTTCTCGAGCTCTAGTTGGGCGTCGGATAACCATGGAACCTAGGATCTTGAATGCAATATTAGTCAAACTGATTCCCCTACGGTATTCATAGGAAACATTCTCTTCCTTCTCATAGACTTTGATGATCGGAGAAGTAAACAAGTGTGACGACACTGCCTCTGATTCCCCCGTCATTTTAGGAAGCAATTTCCTACCACTATCCTTCAAAACGTCGTACAGCAAACTGTTAAGGCCTGATGCTTTCGGTCGTTTCAGATTCAGTATAGCTTTCTCAACTTCAAGAAGAGTTTTGAAGACCAAATCTGAGTCCTACCATTCAGGTCCGGGCTGGATTTTAGGCAACTGAAACGTTGCTGCAGCCAGTTGGACTGGGCTTCAAGGTATTCTGTCCAACGTTATAGCCATCTGTCCTGGGAGGTAGTCAGCCTTCCGTCTCCTCCGGCGATCATTTCACTCGTCATCGTCTTCTTGCCGGTATTCTTAATAGGCCTAAATAGTTGCCATATTATCCAACGACGATGCCTTCTCCATCTCTCTCGCTTTCGTCACCCACCACTGCTCACGATCGACGCGAAGACTCTTGGCCAACTCACGTCCAGTTTGTTTTCCCTCTCCATTGTGATGAGATTTAATTGGAATAAGTCTTCTCGCATCAATCAGTTCGAATGACGTCGCGGAAATCCAGTGACGTTTGTCAGTCTTCCGGTTTGTGTTACCAACTGTCTTTACGCTGTTTCTACAGCAGACTTAATATCATACTCAGTTTCCTCAGGATGAATATTGCTGTCACGTTCTGATAAATGCTTAGCTACCTCTTCCCTAAATGCGGACTTGACCTTCTCATCTTTCAAGCGACTATAAACAGGCTTCACTATCGCCTGTTTTCTGTGGCCAGTAAGGCGCAGACATACACGAGCCCGTACTAGCGCGTGATCAGAGTCTACACTGGCACTCCAGAAAGAGAGGCAATCCTCCACCGATCCTCTTCAACGATGACTTATAGCAATATTATCTATCTGTGTCCAATGTTGGTTAGATATCGGTGGATGCCATGTGAGACAATGTCTCTTCTTATGCTTAAAGTTAGTGCTTGCCAGAAACAAGTGATTGTCGGAACGAAATTGCAACAGACAATCACCGTTCTCTCCGATTGACTCAGATTCCCTACTTGGGCGTTAGGGTCACCTGTCATTGTAACTACACCTGAACGTTTTACTTTCTGTATCGGCTTCCCATAGAACTCTTCCTTTCGATCATCCGAGCTACAGTTGGTGGGTGTGTAGGTGGAGAGTTTGAGTGGGCATCGCCTAGTCTTGTGATCCTTCCTAGTTTTTATAGATGCATTCAGTGGAATAACATATAGCGGACTTCTGACTGGTATCAAATTGAAAAGAACACTTTCTACTCCACAACTCAATGCTGTGCCTACACCAGCTAGTCTACGATAGCTAGGCTTTGGGTCTCCGGTTAGTCGTAAGGTGAGTTTTAAAGATACACCACTATGACCAGCCGTGGTCAATTCACTAGCTACAGTCAGGTTGTGTGTATGTGTCTGAGAGACAGCATATATCCATGGCTAAAGACTCCAGTGTTCTGGGGAGTGATGGTTGGTGTCCGATTTTGCAAGCCAGGCCGCCGTTCTTGGTAGCAGCTGTCGGTCGGCCTCAGGCAATTGGTAAGCAGTCGACCGAATGAGTCATAAGACACTAAATGAACGAACCTCAAAGTCCGGAAAACACGAAGCAGTTGTCATCATCATACTCCTCATCTTCTTTACCAACTTAAAATAATGTAAGTCAACCAGTCATGGATTTTATTTCATAAGGTATGAACCTAACTTATGTGAAAGTTTGTTATAGTTCTTGACCACTCAGGCCTAATTAGTTTGAGTGGGGTTCGAACGTAGAACCCATTGATCGAAAGTCAGACGTGGGTTAACCAATGAGACTAACCATGGTTATCATCGTAGGGTCTGAGGGAGAAATCGCGCTGCTAATTAGACAGAAATGTGTTGTCTTCCCAATATGGGGAGAGGGATTAAAAAGATGCGCTGTAGAACCTTTATGTTGCCTCCCCTACCGATTCGACTTTACGAACATGAATGCTTTCAAAATAAACCGTGTGTAGGTGACCTCAAGTAAGTGCCTATTGGGCTGCTTTAGATAGCTCAAAGAAACAATTACTTCCTCAGTATGGCTACTGGAAAGTATCAGTTGCACTTGTAAAGGTGCCAACAACACAACTCATCTAACCATAACTTTTTTTCATACTTTCCCCTTGTGATTTCATCACTTGTTCCCGTTTCCAGAATTATGCTTGCTACATCTTCCTTAACTTTTTACCCTGCGGCCATACAAAAAATTCAGGTCACCAGAACAATTTGTTGTTTCCTAAAACCTCACAGCCAATCTTACCTAGTAACTTTCACCGTGGAAACCTCAGGTCAATTCGAGCAACTAGTTGCACTTATGAAAACACTGGTTTCTAAGGTTGTGTTTATGAAACATGCCCATCTGATCTAAGTATGACATTTCGCTTTACCAGACCAATGTGAGAAATCTGCGAAATTCATTTTACTACTGTCCATGGATTTTTAAGGTTGGGTAGTTCGGGTGAACTGGGGCATAAGAATGGCATTGAGTTATAGAGCAGGAAGTGCATTTCTGAATTGATTAGTAGTGTGTGCGTTGTTTGGTAGAATGAATCTGGGAGAACTATAAATAACCGTGACACTCATCGATATCTATTTGTAGTTTCTGTCTACGCACCCACTGGCTGCATTTTGGAGATTCGAAGGATTCACTTCACCAAAAGCTGCCAATTTCGCTACAAAGCGAGGCTCTCAGATGTAATCATACCAGCTGGTAACTTAAGCATCCAATAAGGTTGGCTGGACCAGTCGAAACAGCATTTTCAAGGCATCTGCGTTATTCCTTGCTGACGAGCTGACAATATTGATCTCGTACAATTTTGTCTTGATAATCACTTGTGTCTGGCCAACCCCAACTTAAAATATCAGGAAGTACATTTCCTCTCAATGAAAAACACAGATTTTATGACTATCGGAGAAGAATTATGTAGGATTGGCTCTCCTAAACTTCGATCATTAATTCTGGCACATATGTGTTTACGCCTTAGTGGATGCAGGAAACAAACAGCAGTACTGCTTCTATGTGACTGATTGCAGGATTAGATCAAGTATGCATTGAGGGAGGTATTAGCTAGACATTTACCTGAATGTGGCACCAACTGTCATCCAGAGGAAGTCCAGCGTAATATTGTCTGTCGAGAAAAACGGTAGGTACCGTTAGTCATCATCTTTGGGATGAGTTTTCAAAGTCCCATACTGTCTATCAGGGTATAAAAGTCGTTGGAATCCATGATGATACCACTGGTGTTGTTGTTGTTATTCTCTCTTATACAACACAAGAAGCTTCATCACTGCTTATTTTTATAGCAGTCACTGTAATATGACTCTGTCAGTGATGCCTCTTTTCCTTTCCTTATTGCGTTATTTCTGGTGTTTATATAGTAACTTAATTAGTTCATATGTACAGGAAGTGTGTGTGGGTTTGAAGCCTATGTAGATTGTATAGTTACGAAAACGTTAGTTAAGTAAAAAAAATGGCTATTACTGTGTAGTTTTTGTGACCATTATTTATGTTCCATCTGACAGGTTTATAAGTTCGGAAATCCTTCAGGAATTCTTCAGCGCAGATTGATATAAGGTATAAAAAAACCGGAAATCGGGAAGCGATGAGATTTTAGCATTGCAATCCTGTAACTTCTCTTTGGACATAATAATAATAGTCTTATTTCAAATAATGTGTATTACGCAGTGTGGAATTTTCAGCATGTAATATTTCAAGAAAGTTCCTCCCAGAACAATATTAACGTCATAAAGGTAATGATGTGAAGCAATCAGCGGGTTTTGGATTAGTATCCGGTTTAGAATGGAGAATTAACATTTAATGGTGATCACTTCAGTCTTGATCCATCTGAAGATCATTTTCGAATAAATTGAGCCATCTTTCGATGTATTCTAATGCTTCTATCTTTGGGCACCTTGTTTATTTCAGTTAACTCATATGGTATCAATATTTACGTATTAAGAAAAATGTTCATTTTTCCCTCTCGTTTTGTTTATTCTAATCACACCTGTAATACAAGGCTGAACTCATTTTACAACCTCCTATTGTTACACTTTTTCTTTCAGGTAGCCTGATATCTAATGGCAAAGGCAGTGTCTTAAAACGTTATTGTCACTGTGAAGCGCAATGTTTATTACAGCTTCAGTCTGATACACTCAGGTCATTTGTTCCCAAGTATCAAGGCGAGAAATTGTTGGATGGTGAACGTATCCTTTTCTGATATGATTGATTTTTAAAGGGTAAATGTTTGTTAATTAAAGTATATTCTCTCTTACACGTTTCTTTTTGCCTATTTTGGTTGTGGAGCCGTGACTCAGGGGTGTAGATACTCGACCACTGGGTCGTCGGTTCGAACTCCACTTTGTCAACGGAGGTTTGAGCAGCCAGGTTGTGTCATTATTCCTCACACAATAGGTATGGCTTATTGGCTACTGCACGAGTGTGTCCAGCGTTCTTGAGTGTGTTTCGGTTTTATTCAGTTTACTTTTACAATGTCATTGAGTATGTTTCATATCTTGCAGTGGTATATCTATTCGAATTTCCTGCATCTATTGGTAGGGGTTTATTCAGATAACCTATGTTAAAATAAGCTTGTAGGTATATCTTGAAAGTTACCAATTAAGTAGTTTAAAAATGCCCATTAAGTGACAACAAAGATGTTCAGCGAAGAGTCACTCTTTTTAGCCATGTAATTCTCAGGCTGTAAAATCGCATGTGAATGTTAGATTTACTTGGCAACAGGTAAGAAATCTTTCATAAAATATCCGTAACAATATTTACTTTTGATCATAAATCAGGACTTTGGAGAAAGAATTGCCCAGTGTCTAAAATAGTAATGAGAAAACCTACTGAGATCGAAGCAATATTAAGTTACCAAGCTGAATGACGTAATATACTTAAGGGGATTGAAGCTTGCAATAGGAAGTTAGAATTTTAGAGATGGAAGTATTTGATGTGTGAGAAAACGTAATATTTTAGTAACGAGGTGAAAAAGATTGTAGAGGTAAAATGTTCCTACAGATTATGACTTAATTGATTAAGGCAACTGAAGCCGGTACAGACGTTTATTTACTAGACTATGAGCCATACTTTTTGTATGAGGGCTTGTAATACAAACCGATTGCCTGGCCGAAGTAGGTGATGTGGGATTCAAATGCTGGACCCATTGCTTTAAAATCGAATCCTCAAGTCAACAAGTGGCATCTGCATTTCCTCTGAAAGAATTTACTGTCTTTCATTTGCATCTTAATTCGTTTTTCAGCCTCCGTATTTAATTCTTAACATCTAAACATAATATGTCTCCAGGTTTTCTAAGAATGCAGGACTTGTTATACAACTTTAAAACACCATCAGTGATGGACTGTAAAATAGGACAGCGTACTTACTCAGAAAGTGAAGTCTCTGCAGATGGAGATCTTTCGACAAATATCCGAAAAGTAAGTGGATTGTCTTCATTCCTTTCTTTGGTAAAGGATGAAATATTCATTTTCTGAAATCATGTACAGGATGGTGGTGGTTTTGATCGTAACACTGTATTAGAAGTTGGTAATCGATATCTTTTTGCAGCATAATAGTACTGATAGACTCAAAACAGCGCATCATTTTCAAATGGAAACATTTCTCAAGTGAGATTGAGAGATGGAGATAGAAAGAGACTTCTGGTCTTCAAGCTGTAGTTTTGCCTGTAATCGATAGGACATCAGTCAGTTGTCGTATATATGGGTGTGGGAACAGCATAAGTAGCAAAAGAACTACTGACATCTTCCTAATTAGAGGACCGACACATAGACAAAGTCAACATAGAACCTTGCACACAAGTGGTTCGGTTCAAGTTGACATACTTCATAGTAGTACAGAATGAACAAGTGCATTGGAAAGACTGATATCAGGACAGACAAAGGTATATGGCAGAGAGGAAATTTAAAAATTAAGGTTAGTGCAAACATTCATGCTTTGGAAGAAATCAGAGTGAATACATCTGGAGCACTAAACTGTTTCCCCCACCCTTCCATTCGACTCCCCCGCGAGTAAATCAAAAACCCATTCTTCGATATAATCTTGTTAACCCACTTACATTTATGCTTCAGTTTCCTTCATAAGTTTCAATAGCTATAGGCTTTTACCTATGACCACTGCTTTTTCTCTCTCTGCAACTTTCACTGTCCACCACTGTTCGCGGTCATAGCGTAGAGTTCGTGTACGTTTACATTTGAACTTCTTCTGCTCCCTGTTGTGCTAGGAGCCTATAGGACTGCGTTCGCGTACATCCATTAATTCAGTAGAAGCTGCTGAGATCCATTGACCCTCTGTAACATCCTTCTGAGAGACGACTACGGTCTTCAACGTTGTTTTCACAGCAGACTGGAGATGGTGCCAGGCTTCTTCTGAATGTGTTGTATTCTGATAACTGTGTAGCCAGTTTCTCGCTGAAAAGACCCCTTTTGCCTGTCAAGCTGCACTTGAAACAGTCTTGCTGCTCTAGTTTTTCGACATCCACTTAAGCGCAGACATACACATCCCCAAAGCAATGCGCGATCGCTGTCCAAATACGTGCTTCAGAAGGGGTTCATTATGCCGTAGCAACTTACATTATAGTGGTAACTACGTTTCGTTCTACCACTACCCAACTGACCTTTCTGGTCTAGTAAGACCTCGAGGAAGCGAGCGTCCCAGCAGTATAAATCGTTGGGTCATTATGACATATAAGACCAGCTACCACTTTGAGGTAGCAGCTATCGTTCGGGAACGGGTTTTATACCTGCAGGTAGAATATCTGAAGTTATTTCATGGTTACATAAATGATTTCCACCTATGTTTTCAGTTATTATTATTATTTTCCTGCAGTAAGCGTCATATTGAATTTGTCGTATGAAGTTTTTGTTACTGGACGTAAAGCTTTGCTGTTAGAATATTGTTATAAAACAGTTGTTATTATCTGCTTAAACCAACACGTCTTCATTTACCACTGGAAACAGGTGTGTATCACTTCTCTCTGCTACATCTTCCAACTACTCGACGAAACGAATAATGTGAAATACACAAAGTGATGTGGGAGTGCAGATAATCAAGTAACCTAGTAGCGGAAGAAAATAAGCTGTTCATATCATCTCATATCCATAGCTTTCGCTATCTGCATTTAATGAGTTAACTATTTGTTAAGCCTGTTTTCTATAGCTGACATTCTTCAGCATCATTCATACTTAACTACAGACTTAACAACTTGTTATCAATTTTCCGTCTCTCAACTCTCAACTCCTTTCTATACTTAGTTCAGTCAGCTGGATTATATTATTAGGTAGTTGCGTAATACCACTTATGTTTGATGAGAATTAGCCTTGTTTTTCAACCTTATCGTCTGGTAGCCTACATACCATATGTAGAACTTTCATTCAATACTTCATGTCAATTTACCTTAGAATCACAGTTTGTTTATTTTTTATTTGTCCCTTGGGTTCCTAGTGGAACATAGGGCTTCAGTAGCATGTCACCATTTCACTCTCTTCTCTGCAGCCTTTTGGACCTCGCTCCACGACTACCCATAAGCTTTCATTTCTTCCTTACACGATCTCCCCCATCTCACCCTCAGATGCCCGACTTGTCGTTTCCACTTTGGATTCCACTCGAAGGCCTAGCATGTGATGTCCCCAGTCGGTTTTCTCAGTATATGCCCAACCCGATCCATCTCCACTTTCTTTTGCTTATTTGTTGGGCGATGGGTTCTTGGTTGGTTCGTTGGCAGCCAGAGTAAGTTCCTTGTTGCTTATTCTTTCCGGCCACCTGGTCTTCAGTATCGAGTGTAGGCGGCAACCATTGGTGTGTATGTCTGCAGTTTGTTGGAAATACTTTTCGTGACGCGTTGTTGTTTGTAATAAACACTTTTTTCCTGAAAGGCGGTAATAAGAACGCCTAATATTAAAAATGATGGGTTTTTTAGATTGATCGCCAAAAAAGATAAACGTCCTGTAGTTCATTATTATGTAGCTTTTGTATCTTTTTTCATATGATTCTTAACTTTGTGCAAGGTAATTAGCAACCGTATCTGCTAGTTCTGGTTTCGAAGTACTATGTCACCTATCAACAACTGTAAGCACTAAAATTATAAGGTGTGAGTTTAGGGTGAGTAGGATTTGTATATCCCTAAGCGGAAGTTTAAAGGAGGTATTCGAGAATATATACGTTAATTTGAGTATTCGTTTCTGCTTGACACCTAATTATGCTTGTTAGTTGAAGTTTTCATCTATGCAGACCACCCCAGTATATTCATCTGTTGCGTAGGTACTATTTTTTAGAAGTCTGTGGGGCTTTTCTTTTCCTGTCAGTTATGTATTATGGACTCCTTGCAAAATAGTGTACGGTAAGTTTACCACTTTAATCCATGATGTTCGTATATTTTCGATTTCTTCCCTGCTAGATGGCAGTGTCTATAGTTATTCGGAATCAGAAGTTTTTCAGTCTTTTTCTCTTTTCTCATAATGTTATGTATTCTTTCAACCCGTTTAATCTTTTTAAAATATCAGGATTTGTACCTAAAGATGATTTCCACCTCCCCGGATGCTCCTACTGAGAAGGAACATCATGAAAAAGGTGTTTCGAAGCTGCGTTACTTACAGTGGCGTGATTCAATTAGCTCAACGACTGAGTTTGGTTTTCGCATAGAAGCAATTAAGGTATGTTACTTCATTTAAACTTTCCCATGTGTGGCGTTGTTTTAATTGCTTTGACACACTTCTCAGACACCGGATTCATAACCACTGTGACCATTAATTCGGTCTTGGGAAATTGAGTAGTATCGTGCATCGGTTTTCATATGGTAAAGATGATTGTGACGTCATAGCGTATGCATTCACACATGGTAATGGAATACGACGAATTAAATTGATTACATTTGAAATTGGCGTACAACTCAACAGCCGCATACATGTTGTGCACTGGAATTCCCCTTTTGCGTTAAGACTGATGAGATACTAATTAGCTGGAGGGATGTCACAGGGTTTTAACCCATATAGCTAAAATACAATAAATTGTAGTCGGATATCTCCTGTTTTATTTCGTCTTACATAATCATCGAGAATGAAAAAGCTTCAAGAATTACTCGCACGGCAAGTTGGTACATCCTCCTTCTTTCAATCGGAATTATCAATAATACGCCACTTTTATAGTATGTTAGCTCGGATAGCGAAGGGAATATACAGATTAGTTCAGCAATTCAACTGAAGATAAAAATACCATTAATTTCTTCCCTATCAGTCTGGGCAGATATATCCCTGATATTTCTCATATGCTACATTATCGACTGGAGTTGTAGTTCATTGGCCTACGGAGTTGATTTTCAACCGCCGGGTCAGGGGTTCGAATATCACTCCACCTACCTTGGTTTGGGCAGCCAGGTAATATCACTAGCTATCACACACCTGCTGTTGCTCATTGCCTACCACACGAATGTGCACAAGGTAGCTGAGTGGATGTCGATTTGATTCGACATTATCGACTTATCAGGAGAAAGTTTTATCCTTTGGACTAAACTTTTTTGTTCCTCGTATGAGGTTTTCAAATTAAGCGATCCACGCAGTTTCAAAATCTATCCAACTAACTTAAGCCTCTTACTTCAAATTCAAATGATGAATGAGCGTCTGGTTGAAAGCCAAGTTGATGTAGATAGCTCATCACCCAGAGCGAGGAACTTGAATGACCAAGTATTTCAGCAGAGTAGTAAAAAAAACTACAAAATTCTGATGCAACCATTCTCAAACCTGATAAGGATTCAGGAATCGTGATCTTAATTAAAAGTGATAACAGATGTAAAATCCCTTCTATTCTTGATGTTGAAAATAAATTTTGTCAGGACTGTTCTTCGGAAGACGTATCTTGAAAGAGACTTGAGTTAATCGATTGCTTTATTGATATTAACCCTAGAAGTAAAGCTATGTTTTCCTTTGATGTTACCTCCGTATTCACTTATGTCCCGTCAGTCAGAACAAATACCATTTTGTATGATTACATTTTTCAATTCCAGTTTCATTACCTTACTGAAAGCATTTACTACATTTATGTACTAACGATTAAAAACTTTGCATTTAGGGGTGAATATTTCCATCCAACTGATGATATTAGTGTGGAAAACTCCTTGGGTTTCCTTTTAGCAGATACTAATTGTTACATGTTGAAAAGGTATCTGACCACTTCATTAGAAAATTCCCGTTTTATAAACGATGTGTGGATGATATCTTAATTGATGATCCAGGTTATGTCACTTCAGTTCCAAAACGAATGAACGAAGTACAGAATACTATGTTCTTTACAAGTGTAGAAGAGAATGATAACTGCTAATTTTTCTTGGACGTATTGATCAGTCGACAGCGAGATGGGTCAATAAGAGGATTTGTCTATAGAAAGCTCACATAGACAGGATAGTGTTTAGATGATCAATGTTTCTGTCCAGTCCAGTGTAAACGAAGCCTAGTGAGGCGCCCATGTAATGGAGTTGAAGAAATATGCTCAGTCGATACGTTGAAAGGGGAAACAAGATTATTGATGAAAATGCCTTATAAAATTACCTGTATGATCAGATTGTTCGGAATGTGTTGCACAAATACATTACACAATTGAAACAAATTACATCTTATTGTTTTGTCTAAATTCATAAGGGAAGCTATATTTCAAATAAAATGGTCATCATTGATGGCAAGATGCAGAATGCACACACCTATATCGGTTTATCGAATTTCAGCCATAGCACCATCGATTTTGGTGACGTTTTTGTTCTTTACGAAGTCTCCACGTACCTCAGACTAACAGTTAGTGGATCGGTGTCATGCTGTGATCTGAAATCTGTCACATTAGTTAGTAAAGTAGCATGCATTATGCGAAACGGCATGCCTTAATCAGCGCAGAATAATAACTTTGTTGACTGAATTCAGCCGTGTTTTTATTCTTAGCTTATTATTTAGTACCGTTACTCATTATTCAGATTTATCATTGTAAGTGGAACGTTCGTTATGTTGTTGCTTTTATTACCCCGTCGTTGATTGGACCGAATTATTATTATTATTATTATTAGTCCCTTGGGTTCCTAGTGGAACATAGGGCTTCAGTAGCACGCCTCCAGTGACCTCTGTTCTCTGAGATCTTTTGAACCTGGTCCCACGACAGCCCAGGAGCTCTCATTTCCTCCTCGCACGACCTCCTCCATGTCACTCTCGGACGTCCAACTCGTCGCTTCCCATGGGGATTCCACTCGAGGGCCTGACGCGTGATGTCCTCAGTCGGCCTTCTCAGTGCATGGCCAATCCATCTCCACTTCTTCCTGCATATTTGTTGCGTGATAGGTTCTTGGTTGGTTCGTTCCCAGAGTTCCTTGTTGCTTATTTTTTCTGGCCATCTGATCTTCAGCAGCGAGCGTAAGCAGTTGTTGATGAATGTCTGTAGTTTATTGGAAATACCTTTCGTGACGCGCCAAGTCTCTGAGCCATACAAGAGCACTGACTTGACGTTGGTGTTGAAAATCCGTATCTTGTTCCGCATGCTGAGTGCAGAAGATCTCCACACTGGTTTCAGGCTAATGAACGCCTGTCTTGCTTTTCCGATTCTGACTTTGACGTCCTCGTCCGTCCCGCCTGTAGTTGAAACAGTGCTTCCTAGATAAGTGAAGGAGGTTACTTCCTTCAAGTTTCTCCCGTTGACGGTGATTGCAGTTTGTTGTTGTTGTTGATGGTGGTGGTGCGGTATCTTCATCACTTCTGTCTTCTCTATATTCACTTGAAGTCCCGTCTTCGCTGCCTCTTCTATCAACTTGTTAGTTTTTGCCTGCAGATCTTCAAGTTTGTGTGACATTAGACACAAGTCATCGGCGAAATCCAAGTCTTCTAGGTTCTTTTCCGTCGTCCAGTGTATCCCCCTCTTCTCGCTGCCTACTGTTTGCTGCATGATCCAGTCCACCACAATAAGGAATATCATGGGGGATAGTAGGCAACCTTGTTTCACTCCTGTCTTCACTTCAAAGGCATCACTGAGCTTCCCATTGTGGATTACTTGGCATGTGGCATCTTTATATAGTTGTTGAATGAGGCGGATAAAGGTTTGCGGTACTCCGTAGTATTGAAGCAGTTTCCAAATTACTTCTCGGTCGACGCTGTCAAAGGCCTTCTCAAAGTCGATGAAGTTGAGGTAGAGAGCTGATTGCCATTCTACGCTCTGTTCTATGATGATGCGAAGCGTTGCAATTTGGTCTGCACATGATTTGTACTTCCTGAAGCCTGCCTGTTCTGGTCGTAGTTTTGAATCCAGTGCGTCTTTAAGCCTCTCTAGGATGATGCGGCTTAATATTTTACTTGGGGTGGACAGGAGATAGATTCCGCGCCAGTTCTTGCAAGCACTGAGGTCTCCCTTCTTCGGCAGTTTGACAAGGTAACCCTTCTTCTAATCAATGTACAGGTACCTTCTCTTCCTTCCACATCTTCTGCAATAGTGGTGTGAGCATGTCCGCTGTTGTCTCTGCATCTGTTCTCAGTGCTTCTGGCGGTATTCCATCTGGTCCTGCTGCTTTCCCGCATTTCAGTAGCTTTATGGCGTTCAGGACTTCCATTTTCGTTGGGGGATTTATGTTCACTTGTAATTCAGCGGCTGCAGGTGGTATTTCTGGACGAAGTGCAGGTGGTGGTCGATTCAAGAGCTTCTTGAAGTGGTCGGCTTATCGTTTCCTCTGTTTTTCTTCTTTTGTAATTAAGTTTCCTTCTTCATCTTTTATTGGTTTCATCTGTGTTGGTCTCTTCCCTGATAGCAACCTGGTTATTTGATACAATGTCGTCAGGTCTCTCTTACCTGCAGCCTGTTCTGCTTCACCTGCCAGTGTTTCGTAGAAGTGTCTTTTGTCTTTCCGTGCACTCTTCTTCACTTCTTTGTCCCGTGAAGTGTTTTATACATTGTGCTCAGTTCATCTTGTCGTTGAGCATCCTTGCACTGGTTTATCTTCTGCTTCACTATCCTCCTCTCCTCTATCAGCTTCCAGGTATCCGTCGAGATCCATTCCTTGTCTTCTTTCTTCTTCCTTCCTAATACTGTTGTGCAGGTTTCTTTCCATATAGCTTTCAAAGACTTCCAGTGTTCTTCCACACAGGTTTCTTCAGGGATGTTGCTCGATGTCTCCCATTTTGTCTTGATGGCTGCCTTGAAGATCTCCTTTGTAGTTTCATCCTTCAGTTTCCGAGTGTTGTACTTGAGTTGAGGTCTATCACCAGCTTCCTTGAAGGCTTTTAACTTGATTTGGAAGGTTCCTTGCACTAGATAGTGGTCTGAACCTACATCTGCTCCTCTTCTTGACCTTGTGTTAAGTAGACTGGACCGAATTGATAGGTCTATATTGCCATATGCGCTCCTGCGCGGATGTCTTGATATTGCCTGTGTTTCAATTATATATTAATTCTGGATAATGACTAGCAGCAGAATCCAGGATGGGCGTCTCGTCTCATTTGGGAGTTGTCAGCTAGATGTATCTGCCTCACTGCAAGTGATGGTGTTCCCACGTAGATCATAAAATTGGAACGACGAGCTATATTGAGGTGTCTGCGGAGGAGCCTATATGTCAATGGAGACCGGTCAATTAGATCTAATCAACGACGGGGTACTACAAGCAACAGCATAAAAACTACACTCGTCGCACAAAAAGTGGCTATCGTGACTCAATGGCCAGAAGCGATTGACCTCGGGTTCGAGTCCTGGTGGGAATAACGCCGCTCATTGGTAGGCAGGCAAATCTTGTCGACGAGTCCCAAATAGGACGAAACGCTTGTTTCGGATTCTACTGCTAGCCGCTATCCACCATTACCTAAAAATTGAACCTTTGTTAACTACTTCTAATTCGTCAAAGTAGCGTTTCGTGTATTAAAACGAATGGAATAACTGCGATAAGAGTTAAATACTTCCAAGCATAAATTATTGCTCATAATCATATCAATGTGACATTGGTACACCTATATAAAATACTTTCATTGAGAAATATCAATTACCACCAGTGCACTGCGGTAACTACCAACGTGCTACACTGCTTACTGGTACACCAGCAAAATATATTTACCCATTCGTATGTCTTTTTTCTGCATTGTTACAGTTGCAGTGGAATGTTTTCAACTTGTGAATTAGTTCATACAATATAAAAATTCTGTGCTTATTCTTACCTATTTATTCCAGAATTATGGTGAATGTACTAGGCGAGATTTTCAACACACTTGTGCATGGAATGAGTTGACAAGACATATCAAAATCTTTGTCAAGTCTCGTAAACTAATTGCTGTAAGTGCTGTTAAGTTGTTTCGTTTCTTTTCATTTTCTTGAAAGGGGAATTTGTTTATTTCTCCCACCATTCCTTCCCTCTATAAATTTCTGCAAAACATAACGAAGACATGGTTTATCGGAAGTATATGATGAAGCAGTGCAATATATTTCGAACAATCTGGTCACACCCGCTTACTTCTCATGCATATCTGCATGAAACTTAACAAAAAATAAATGGATCTGATAAATAATTGACGTATTAAAGGGTTGAATTGTTAGTTTAGATGGGAAGGGAAAGGTGGCATATCAATCACCCTTGACATCGAAGCAGAAACAAGGGATGTTTCATGTTATAACAAATTGTTTTCGATTACATACAGAAGGTTTGAGCTTCCTTATAGCTAGACGTCCAGAAAGTATATGCCTATAGTCGGTTTTGTAAATAAGTTTGAAAGACTTATAGGGTTGAACTTTACGATCCGTTTCTATGATGTGTTTAGTTATGTATAGACAGGATTGAACATCTATTGGTTGGGTCACTGGGATCAATCGATTTGACTTGCTATTGTAGCCATTATTTGCACTGATCAAAGTATCTTCCTTATACTTTTGACCCACGTACATGTAAAATGAATGTAACCTCATCATTCAAATACTGCGGTGGTTTACAGGAGTACATAAGTCTCTCTTTCTCTCTATGATGTCGATTTCCCTTCACTGCATAGTATGGCTGACTGAAGCCTTTGTTTGATGGTCAGACTCTATGAATCACTAATATATGTTAGCGTAATATAGATATCTTTCTTTGGAATTGAATGAACAATGTTCCTTCTTTGTTCGACATTTCCAGCATGAATAATAAATTTTATGAGATAATTGTCGTCTTCTGGTTTAAACCAGAAGATGTCATTCCCAAAATAATTGTCGTCTACTAATAATTTGATAAGCGTTTGTGTTTCCTACCCCAAGGTATTATTTGTCCATTGAAAGATAGTCTGTTATCACGTTAAACCTTCTTTGGTAGCTAAGCTTAAACAGCAAGGTTTATCAATATGCTATCTTTACATTTCCATCTGAACCAACAGTCTGACCCTTCACTGCACGGGTTATTTATGGGGACCCACTTACCCTTTGTTTTATTTCGTGTAGATATGCATTATAAGTGTGACCAGGTTGTTCGAAATATATTGCGCTACTACATCACACGCTTCCGATAAACCACTTCTTCACTTTATTTTGCTGAAATTTATGAAGGGGTCTGACTTTCAATTCCTTTCCCTTTGTGTGTGTGTGTGTGTGTGTGTGTGTGTGTGTGTGTGTGTGTGTGTGTGTGTGTGTGTGTGTGTGTGGTTGTCATAAGTTTTATTACATGGAGCATTTCTTTAACAAGCCTTCGAGCTACTAACTATGTGGCATAGAAATTTGATAGGGAAGTTGTGTAGTAAAATAGTTCGGTTCGTGACTATCAACTGATGTATTTTTATAAGTATGTGTACCGGTTCAGGTCATTTCTTGTAGGACTGGTTACATTTAGCACCAAGTGTATTTATCACCACCACTGTTGATTACGCTTTAATACTTTAACAATTTTTGTTCATACGTATTTGATCACGATAAGTTTTTTAGTTGTGCTAATGCGTTCTTTAGTTTTGAAGAGCTTGCTGAGTACTGATACGGTCCGTCAGTAGTTAGAATTTTCTACATCTTTCGAATTCTATACTGTGGTTTTGCACCAAATTACTCTGTATTGCTTTTTATCAGTAGCGTATTTGTTTTTTCAACTCCTATCGGTTGATTTCTTCTTGTTGGTTAGTGTTTATTTAAATGCATTATTTATTAATTTCGGGTTGATATTCATTACGGACTGACATCAGTTAGAGAACCATTGGAAACCCGGGAGCACTGGACATCTATCTGTCCAGTCCTATCATGAAAGTCTTCAGCTGTGTGCACCCATAACCCTACCAGGGGTCGAACCTAAGACCTTCAAGTTCCACGACTAGCACGCTACCATTGGCACCCAGTAGTAACGTGCTAACCATGCAACTTGCAGGTCCTGAGTTTTACTTCTCATGGGGGCATGGATACGCATTTCTGAGGAGTCCAATACTAGGACGCAACAGTTGTCCAATGTTCTCACGTTTCCAATTGTTGTTCAACTGATTTCACTCCATGATAAATACCAACCTGAAATCAATAATCAGAGCTCTGCAAACCTACGAACTGAAATACGTTATTTGTTTTTCTCTTTTCCGCAATTTATCTATTAAACTGTTCTATTCGAGAAGCGTTTTTTCGTTAGCTGGTGTCGAGAAAAGCTAGACAGAATGTGTGTCATTCCATACCACTGACCATCCATGTTCCTGCATTATCAAGGAACCGTACAAAAGTCGAAATAAGCATTACGTTTCAAATTTTTAACCAGTTACTTTCTACTAAACATTCATCTTTTCGAAATCAGTAACGAAGCTACAGCTTACTATGTAGGATTTCATAAAGGTGATGTCGATGTTATCTTCCAATAAAAAAGCGACTTTCGGAATAGTATCGGCTATATTCGAAAATCTGCTATAGCACCTACGTTTTAATACCCTAACAAATATGATATATATATATATATATATATATATATATATATATATATATATATATATATATATAAGTGTAGTTCAATGTGATTAAGTGGGGGATGCAGAAAAGCATCTCTCAAGAATGTTCTTCAGCAAGATTTAAAAGTAGTCCAGTTGCCTTAGTTAATTATTGGTTCCTTTGATCATGTTCTTTTTAGTGCTGTCTAGGAGTTTGAAAAAGGATGAATAGTTTTCCAACCACTGCGCCCAAGTTTTCAGTCTTTTTCTAGCTAATCTATCGGTCCGTAATGAGAACTTACCTGTAATAGTTTTGTACGGATTTCCAATTAACTAGAGTTAAATGTTCAATATCTATCAGTATTGTGATGAATGTTCTGATTTTGCATGTATTAAAGTCACAGCCTTTCATTAAGGCATCTTAGGAATAAACGAATTAGTAAATTTTATACTCTGTTTTGTTATTTTATTCAGCAAAACTATCTGATTCGATTGCTACAACTAAGAACCACATTGGAAATCTCTGAATTCTTTGCCAGCCATGAGGTTTGTTTTCTTGTTCCTGAATGTTGTTATCCAGAAAATTTGGTGTTTTTTTTGACGCTTGTGTTGTGCTATGTTGTAAATTATCGACTTGTATTATGTTAATGGAGCCTACATGGACACAACTAAAGTGGCTAGACGTGGCAAAATCGGTGATGAGAGACTTTAGGTGGTATGGCTCCGAATCGATCTGAATGTCTCAGATGCATTCGCACATTATCTTTATTGTAGTATTCATGCCGAATTTCGTTATTGTTTCATCTCTACTATTTTTTAGTGACTTTCTACTAATTTAAGTTGATTTCTTTCTTATTTTTCTGTCCATCATGATACTTTTTACCATGATGGGTTGTGGCAACTTGTACCGTTACGCAGCAATCCCAGATCCCATGTTGATGCTAACTGGCTGACTCATTGGTTATGTGTATGCTCAATTACCATCTTTGCCGACTCACGATTCTAGCTGATGTAGGGTAAGGTTGAAAATAGGCCAAGGGTGATCAAGCTAAAACTTGACATTAGTCCATAAAGTCTCTGAATCTCGTTCTTAGCCCTGAAGGGGAATATAGACTTCTTGATTGAGGTCCACGTTATAATCGAATTGTGTAGTTGAAAATTCCAGGTGATATGTTGTCTGAGAATCTATCTTTTTAATGCAGAGGCATCCTTGTCTTATCTTTATTCTAACCGTCACACCATAATTCCGTATTTGTGTTGCCCTCTCTTCTTGTCACCCTATGGCTTTATATTTAATCATTTTCATTCTCTTTTGTTCCCTTGTATCTTGATTTGTTGATAAATGGTGCTGCAACTTGAACCTTTACGCGATATTGCTGGGTTCTATGTCGATATCGACTTACCTTCTTATTTGTTTGGTTGCTATTCCACCACAAATGATATTAGCTGAAGCCTGTTTCAACAGTAATTCGTTCCTAAGGAAGGTTTAATGTAGTAGGATAGGCGGATACAACATTGTTACAGTCTTTTCTAAATATGCATTGAATTATTTTATTTTCTAATCTGTTTCAGCATGTTTCTATTTTTCTGCATTTAGAACTCTGTGGGTCATTGGTTCAGACAGTCGATTTTCAGCTAGCGAGTTATGAATTGGAAACTCGCTCCACATACCTGGGTCTTGGTGACTAGGTAATCTCGTTAGTCCTTACACAATAAGTGTGGCTCATTAACTGCTGCACGAAGGTGCATCCTGTAGTTGTTGAGTTGCATTTAGATTTAAATTTCTGTACGAAGTCGTACCACTTACTATGACAAAGATTTTCTGTGATTGGATATTGGTTTTAAAGTCCTTTGTGCTCTACTTTCAGAGCAATTTCAGTCATTGGGTGACTCTAGTATGCATTCTACAAACCTAGGATTTCTTTTTGTATGGTAATGTGCCAGTTGAACATTTTATTCTGATGTTATGTCCTCCTAACGCAGGTAGGATTTTCGCCAACAGACTGTTGCTCGCCTTACTAACCTCTTCGTTTTTTTTTTCAACTGGAGAATCTGACGTGATATGTATCTTCATAGAGGACAAACAGTCTGTCGTTAGTTTTTTCTTCTGAATAAATTGATACCGGTGGTAAACACATCTGCTTTTTATTTTCATCATGAAACTCGTTTTTCTTTGTTTGAAATTCCTTAATTAAAGGTAAGTGGCGTGTATCTTAGTGAGAATGTGTCTGTTTATTGTGGTTGGAATGCACTTTTTTGTGAAGCTATTTTCTCTTGTTGGTGCACTCAGTCATTTACAAAACACTTCTGCATAAGAGAACAATAGTGATTTAACTCGACAGTGTTGATATATTGGTTTTTAGAAGAAAAAAAACACTAGCGAACAATGTTGTTTTCGATTAGATCCTCTTCAAGCTTTACTCTAATATCAATAACTAAATATATGTTTTAAAAAGTCAGACGAATTATATAAACTTATCTGTCAGTGTTTTAAATTTAACGATGGTAATAATAATGGAAATAATAAAAATCATCACGTTGATTAGAGCTGTTGTAATATAGATGATAATGCTGATAATAACCAAGGAAACAGCATCATACTAAAGGATGAAGTAAGTGGATAAACAGAGGCTAAACCAATATAGTAAGTATATGAAAGGGTGTATAGACTTAATATGATGCAGCAATCTGGTCATCCTGTATGGAGAAGAGGACATTAATCTTATTTGTTACAAGACAGAACTGACTTGGAGTCTTGACTTTCTGTATGGGTTGAATTCTAGCGTATTCACTGAGTCTGGTATGGCCATTTTTGTTCAGAAAGTGAATTCAGGTTGAACGCTGTGCAGATGACAATGTTTTGTTAACAGCAGACATACTGCCTAACGTCTCAAGCATAAATTATTGCTCATAATCATTATCAATGTAATCACACTAGTTTCGACATCTAATTTTTTAGTCCTACCACCCATCTCATATACTTTGTTTTAAGTTGTAGTTTTCAGTAGTAAGGTTTTCCATATCTCTGGTATAGGTGTTTCGTCATTCCTATTACATGTGTTCGATGAACAGAAATCCAGTAGTTAATCGTTCTCTCCACCTAATTACATTGAACATTCAGTAAGGTGGTTTCATCCCACCCTATTGTGTGGTTGTGAGCTAATGCATGCATTGCAATGGTCGAGTTTTTTTCTAGGTTACTGATCTTATTGGGATCTGTCATTCTATATTCCACTAAATTCCTATATTCCACTAACCTCACTGACCCCGACCGTCTAGTTTAACTTATGTACTTGACCTCACGATCACTGCATGGAATTTGGTAGATTAGAGTGTTTGGCTACTTAATTCTCATTTTGACTACCTGAGATAGCCGTAGTTTGGCAGACTAGTAGTGATACCGGATGATGGTTGAAGGTGAAATGAAAAACTTGTTCTATCGGATCCTTTAGCCAATCTCTGAGTGAGTTTGTAGATTTAAATGCCACCCTAATTCCAGCTTTGTTGAGAATCCTACTCAACGTTTCTGATACTCATCCGTTATGTAATAACACAATGAAGGCTGTGGACTCGTGTCACTGTTACTATTTCGTTTCTTATGTGTTAGTATGAATTTTTTAATAAACTGCAGGCGATAATTAATAATTAATACTGCTTCTTTTATATGTGTCAATTCTTTGCACTGACTACTGAGTTTTCCGGCTCTATTATTTAGACATTTGACTAAGCCATCCTAACTGACATTGGATGAGAAATCCTTAAGTCTAGATACCCTGTTAGGAATGTATTGGTTTCACCTTGTTATGTATTTGATGATGCAGTTAATTGTTATATTATTCGAAATTAGAAACGACGGAGTCATCAGAACTTATCACAAGTAGTAACATATCCTTAAAGTACTTTGTGTTTGAATCAGCCAAAATAGCGATAAAAATAAATTACCATGCAAAAAAACAATGTAAAACTGTGTATATAATTGAAGGATATCATATTTCGTACTTGTTTGACCCTTATAAAACAGTTAACTGTAATTAATCAAACAAATTCGCAATCATTTAGGTTGGATTTCCAATATTCACCAACTTGTAATGTTGATTTTAGCTATTTGTTTGAATAACAAGCTTACTGAAATTTGGTTACATAAATCGGAGATTATATTATAGCAATCCAAACAGAAAACCGTAATATATTTTAGTTACAGCTTGGAAGGGAAATAAATATAGTTCGTAACCAAGATAACAAAGGTTGTTTTACTACAGCTTGAGTGCCATGTGGTTTAATTATAGATTCTCACTCGCTCATAACCGAATACCGTCATATTTAAAGACACCGAGTTCGATATCGGAGGAGAATTTCTTAGTAGAAAGAAACAACCAAACAGCCCTTCAATAACTTTCATCTTTCTGTACTTTCTATGCGTTGTGATATTATTCTTTTCCTGTTGATATGTCTCCATATTATCACACAGTTTCTGAGTTCCTCATATTACGTATCTATGTTGTACTCTTAGTTGCACAAGTATGTTGACAATAAAAAAATTTGTAAATGCACCTACTGCACAAAGTAAGAATAAAATATTGACTATATAATAATGATAATCGCTTTATTCCAAACAATTCGTATGACAATATGGAATTCTGAGTATGTAATTTTTCAATAAATTCACTCCCAGAACAATACTTTCAGATGGAACTGTTATCGTATCGAAATGATATTAATAATAACGGTATTCAAGACAATAATGTGAAATAGCCAGCTCATTCTGGGTAAGCGTCCGGTCCATAATGAAGAATCAACATAAATGAGAGCGTAATTTTGGTGGTGCTGGTTCATTCGTACGGTACAAAAACCTTAAACTCAAGCTGAGCACCTGACGGATATGATGTGCTTTTGTGCACTGAAAAGTCCGTTTCTCTATTTTGTTATTGGCTCGAGAAACGGAGAGTTGAAAACTTTAAAAATGTGCATAGGTGCATGATACGTTCTAAGGACATATTCAACTGACTAAAACAAATTGAAAAGAAAGAACTTGGTGAAAAATGTTCGATGGATAAATTTGGTAGCCCAAGGTTTAAGCAGGCTGCCGTTCGATGCGTTCATTGAATATTCTTCTTACCATTACTGCCATTACCAATAGTATTGGCATTATAGTGCAAAGAACTGTGGTGTGATGTAAAAGATTTGTAGCTCAGGATGAGGATAATGGTGTTTTGGTGTTCTCTGAGCTTTGTTATTTTATCGCGAATATTTCATTACCAGGCTTGGTGACATCACCACTAACCTGATGAATAAATAAAGAATATTCGCATGTTTAGATTGTTTTTATTGACCTTGGGTTTTGTCCAATGGCAAATTAACCGGATTAGTTAATAATGATGCACAATGTGACAACAACAGAACACAATTTCACTCTATCAAGGAAATAAATTTAAGGTCAACGGGGTCAGGGTGTGATAAACAATTTCTTCCCAAACTTACAATTAAACAACGTCGAAGGTTAATAAAAATACTAAGCATTCGAATATGCTTCACTTCTGTATGAAGTTAGTGCTGGAAATGTCACTGAGCGTTCACAACAAAATATAAAAGCTCAGAGAGCACCATCTGTACTGTGGTTTGTTTCAGGCACCGTTTACGCTTTTTCCCCTTCATTTTTCTCCTTAACCGAATGCTTGTTAAGGTTAACTACTAAACACTGACGTCAAAGGCTATCTGTGACTATAATTTTTTCAAGCTTGCTTGTTAGTCTCGAATTGTGCATGTGGTATATCTATATATAACATTTAGTTAGTATATTTGGATATTTGCAGTGAAGAAATTTCCTTATTATCTGTTGCTATCTAACGGTAACTACTGGATGAAACCTCGAAGTGCTAACCAACTAGTTACTTAGTGTAGTTGTATCACAGCACGCAGTTGTTAATAATTCTTGTTCTGACGGATCCATTTCACTAATAAGTCTTGTATAAATTGTTTTTCTGTATACGATAAATTAATGAAGTTATTTTTCAATTTTTATGAAAAATGTTCTCTTATTCTATTGCAGTTTATTGGCTCCTCCTTATTATTCGTTCACGATGAGTCAGGTTATGCTAATGTCTGGTTGATTGATTTCGCTAAGATTGCCTGTCCATCTGACAATCGATTACGTTTAAATCATCGTTCCCAATGGCATTATGGTAATCATGAAGACGGCTATTTAATTGGAATTGATAATTTGGTGAAATTACTCGAGGAAATTATACCTGAGTGTCAATAGATGTTGAACTCCAAGTTCATCCTTCTTTACCCATTTCTTACCTTTCCCCTCTGCCTGTGGAACATAGCAAGTATAAGTTTGTTTCAATTTAGCGCGCAAAATAACAATAATATGACTGGACTGTTTAAATAACTCATTAATGACAAATGATTCATTTAGCTCAAGTGATAAACAGTCAAAAACCAAATTGATTTTCCTGTCTGTTATTGTATGCTTGCTGATTTTTACAGGATAACTCTCTTTCCATTTATAATCACTTCCTAGATGTAATACGCTCAGTTTCACAATAACTCTTATCATGAGTAAATCAACAGATGAATGAGTGAATATGCAACCTTATTTTTGATACATGAAAACTTTTTTTTCCAAATGTTGAATCAGTTAATTGTTTTGCACACGTTTATTTGTTCGTTTTTTCCATGATTAGTGAGAATGCCAATGTCCCCTTTCCTCTATTTATATCTCCCTTCATTCGGTCTATACATTCGAACTGTTCACATTCATAATCATACCTTGTAAACATTCCACCTATGCCAATTTGTATGTTGATTCACAATTTTGTAGTGCGTTGATTTTATTTTCTAATTAGCATATTTTTTATTACTCGTTTGTCATTTAGTTGTGATGACAATCAAACTTGACTATCACACTGGTGTATTCCAGTTGTTTCAAGCGGTTTTCACTTTGTCACGCAAGTCGGATGTACAACGATGAGATTAAGAGCAGCTAACAATTTACTTTGGTTAATGAGATTTTTTCGTGGTTACTGTATTAGATAAGAGTTTTGCACTGTTAGATTGGGTAGTAGTACCAGTACTGTAGAGAAAACTACTTATAAGAATACATGGAAGTAGTATATATAGCGACGTTGAAAGTGAGAATGATCAATTGATGTGAAATAAGGCCAGGTGAGCATACAACACTGGATGAAAATATAAAGTTTTCGGAATGACATACGTACAAGAGAATATTTGCCAATGGATAAATTATTGTTAAGTGTAGTAGTTTTCTCAATATCACTTCTGATTGTTAAGTTGATTTATTGGACTTCTGCTCAGTACTAGTAGACTGTCAATGATAAGGAAAAAGTCATCTTTTTCTGCCAGGTTGCTGGCATTTTTCGAAGTAATAGTGAAGATATTTGCAAACAGATAGCTGAGCTACTTGCGTATTGCTGACTTCAGACAGATGTCTTTAAAGCTTAATGATCAGCTATTCTCACTGAGCTGGAATTGATCCAAAGAAACATTGACTGTAAATCTAACTGGAAAGGCAAACCGCCATTCAATCCACTTTTGTGTTACACTAATCGGTTGCCAGGTTTATATGTATCGATTATCTAAAGATATTTTTTGAGTACGCCGTTATCAGATAAGTCCTCCATAGCACTGAATACATCACTACTGTGCTATTAATATAAGTGCTTTAATTTATCACATTCATTTTATACGAAAAGAGATGACCGCAGTGAGGGAAGATAATTTTCATCTCGATTAACTTATTTTCCTCAGCCTACGTTCGTGAGCTTATAGTGGGGGAATAGAACATTCTGTGATTTCTGGTCAAAGGTCAACTTACATTGCATAATAAAAGGGAAGTGGACTAGTATAAATGGGTTAAATAGGCTGTTGGTTCCAGGTTGGAATTTACCATGGACTGATTTCAGTTGGAGGAACATCGAGAACCTGGAAGCACTGGATAGCTGTTTCGTCCTAGTGTGGGACTCCTCAACAATGAGCATCTATTACCCCACCACCTTATGGGTCGAACCGTGGACCTTCAGGGTCCGCGGCCAGCGCGCTTTTGTTGAGCCACTATGTGGAAATCCGCTGGTCTTTATTTCCTATTTCTCTCAGTTCACGATATAGAGCCACCTCCATCCAGCGTCTTCGTTGAGTAACTATCCTTTTTGTTCCACTTGGTTGACTTCACTTGTCACAACTCATTAGAACTTCAGGAATCATCTCTCGAAGCTAGTCACTAATGAGCGGTAGACTTATTCAGTCTAGAGACTTATGTAGATTCGTTAATTGATTTCAAGTTGGAATTCACCATAGAAGTCCTCTTACTTCGCTATGCTTCAACCATCGAAATAGTCCCATTACATAATAAAAAATCGAGAAAAGGCAACTCAACGAAGGAAGTTTTCTCGACAAACTTCTTTTTAAAATCTGTACAATCGTAGTCATAGTCAGAACAAAATATATATCTATCAGTTGCTAATGGGTCAAAATAAAGTCATTAAGAAAGGTCAATAAAGTCACAGGGTGATATTGGCTAGAAAGTCATCAAAAACTGCTTAGAGGATCACAATAAATTAAACAGTAAACAAAGAAATGAATGAAGTGCTTTAGGGGGATTACGACCAAGGTAAAATCAGAGATTGATTGTATCCCTTTTAAACGTAAAGATCAGGCTTTAACCGATGGACTATCAAAGCTACTGCTGTATTGAGGTGGCGAATATACACTCCCTTTGGAATTTTTAATTTCATCTTATAAATGATTTTGAAAGAAGATTCTCGTGGAGTCAAGTGACCATAGTTAACCAAATTCTCAAAGATCGAGCTGTTGATTGTTTCAGACTCTTTTAGATAGCTGTGCAGGGTGGCGTTCGGAGATGCTCTTGAAAAGAACAGGCTTTGTGTGGTCTATGTAATCAGCTCCACTAAAATAGGTGAATTGGTAAACACACAAGTAGGTGGTCCAATGCGGTAATTTATCCTTTACACAACGTCTAATCAATGGTTGACTGGCGAAAACAAAGCTGGGCGGTAAAGAAGGTCTTATTTAGTGCTTTGCATAGTCGATTCTTCAGTATCTCTGGCATTGTATCTCACTTGGATCCAATATTCATTAAACCCTCTTCTTTGAAACCGTAGGATTTTCTTTGAAATTCTTAGGCTTAATGTTCCTCTCAATGAAACTTGAAGGATGACCATTTTCGGTGAACATTGTTAGAAGTACTTTCAGCTCCTCATTTACTGCATCGTCTGTACAAGTTCTTTGAATGCGCATGGATAGTGAATAAACTAGATTTCTCTTATTGATTAGTGGAACGCAGCTCCAAAAATGAGTATGTTGTCCATTCCAGGTTTGTTGCCTATAAGCCAATCTCTTTCGGGGATATAATGTCTTCCCCATCGAACGTCCAGGAAGTGGAATTCTGAATTACTCTCACTTTCCATGGTTAATTTAACTGACTTGTAACATTCGTCGAACTCTCGCAGTAAGTCTTCAAAGTTACTATTCTCCTCATGGATGAAAAAAGTGTCATTCAAGTATCTCTTATATGCATGGAACTGGACGAATTAGCTATTCACGGATGGTTCATCGAAAAAAAGCTTCATTAAATTGTCTTTTTGAAATCGAAATAATTGTAACTTTATAATATCCATGCATATATTTATCTGGATACATATATATATATATATATATATATATATATATGTATATATATATATATATATACACATACATATATATATATATATATATATATATATATACAGACAAAAACGTACTACTACCAGTATTAACAACAATACTACTACTACTACATATATACATATATATATAGTATACGTATAAACATTTATATATATACAGACAAAAACGTACTACTACCAGTATTAACAATACTACTACTACTACTACTACTACTACTACTACATATACATATATATATATAATATATGTATAAACATATATATATATATATATATATACAGACGAAAACGTACTACTACCAGTATTAACAACAATACTACTACTACTACTACTACTACTACTACTGCTACTACTACTACTACTACTACTACTGGCTATCTTATTACGACAAATACCACGATTACTGATACTAATACTACTGGTAACACTCTTGCTACTGCTACTAATACTACTACTGCTACTACTACTACTACTACTGCTACTACTACTACTACTACTACTGGCTATCTTATTACGACTAATACTACGATTACTGATACTAATACTACTGGTAACACTCTTGCTACTGCTACTAATACTACTACTGCTACTAATAATACTAATACTAAAACTTCCACTATTACCACCCCTAATACTAGTACTGCGACTACTACTAATATTAATACTATTACTACGTCTACTACTGCTGCTAGTAGTGTTACTACTACTACTCCTATTACTACTACTACTGCTACTAATGCTACCAGTACTACTACTAGTACTACTGCTACTAAAACTAATACTTCTAGGAATACTACTCTTACTACTGATGCCACTACTATTGCTTCTGATATTACTAATACTACTACTAATAATACTACTGGTAATACTGCTACTACTACTTCTACTACTACTGCTACTATTACTATTACTACCAGCATTACTATTGCGAGTACCGTTACTAATATTACTACTGAGACCATTACTACTAGTATTATTACTACTATTACTAATAATGCGAGTGTTACTACGATTACTATTATTTTTACTAATACTATTAATACTATTAATACTACTAATAATACCACTGTTAATATTAGTGATGCTGGTACTATTACTACTACTTCTACTACTAGTACTACTATCACTATTACGACTATTAATACTACTATGAATAATACTACAACTACTGCTACCACTGCGGCTAATGCTATTATTAGACCTGCTACTACTACTACTACTACTACTACTACTACTACTACTACTACTACTGCTACTACTAATAATATTACTGCTAATACTAATACCACTGCCACTAACTTTACTACTGCTGCTACTACTGCGATTACTACTACTACTGATACCGCTACTGCTACTACTACTACGATTACTACTACTACAACTACTACTCATACCACTGCTACTAGTAATATTACTAATACTACCAGCAATAATACAACTAATGCCACTCCTACTATCACTACCAATACTGCTGCTAAAACTACTACTAGTGCTACAACTGCTACTACTAAAGTTACTACTACAATTATTACTACTAATAGTAATATAGTG